ATACATAGAAATATTGAAGGAAGGACTCTTGCCACTTTATTCCTCGAGTTTCGTGGACAAGAACACAACTTTGTTCCAGGAAGATGGAGCACCATGTCACACTGCTAGAAAAATCCAAAAGGTGGCAGGAAGAAAATGGTATCCAGAAGTTGCCCTGGCCGAGCCAATCTCCTGACATGTGCCATACTCAACCAGCAAGTCAAGAAACAACCAAAAAAACAACTTCGAAGAGCGATTTACTCCAAGTTTTGAAGCAAGAGTGGGGGAAAATCCCACAATCTAAAATTGACGAGATGATTCTCACGATGCCCCAAAGGATCAACGAACTCCACGAAGCGAAAAGAAGATCTACTATATATCAATTCATGTGAATATGACTGAAAAGGTGGTGTCTATTTACGTGTGACCACGCTGTGTACTTTTGTTTATGATTTTTAGTTTTTTGTAACTTCCACTAGTTTTTGCACTACTGCAAATACATGGATGTATATAAGCATATTCATGTTTTGTATATTGTTAAGCAAACAACTAATCTTGTTGGTTATAATATTTGTAATTAGTTTTTGAATTAATTTTTAAATTATGAAGATAATTTTAAAGTGTTGGTTCGCTGTATGGATTTAGGAGTAACTTAAATATTCTAAGATAGCCAGATGTTCTCGTATGTTATGGTTGAAAATATTGCTAACACTGAGGGTTCCCAAGTGATGATTCAGTGTCTTCTAATTAGTAAACACTTCAGTTGTGTGGTATTATTACTGGTATATATTGATTTATGACATTAAATAGTGCAACTAGTTTGTTATTTGGAAATGGCTTCTTTAAATTATCAAGCTTTGCATTTGATTTATATAAGTTACTTTTGTTCTTAAGTCCTTACAAATTTCCTAGTGATATAGCTATGCATTATTTAACCCCAGCACTGCTGATTCTATAACTCATTGAAGCTGTGAAATATTTTTCATATTCTTTCTTCATGATCTGTTTGCTTAAACTTCTCACATCAAAAATGTTCCTATTATTTAACACTAAGTAATGGTAGGTTAGCTCAGAAAAGTTCCTGTCCTTAGTTCTTGATCTGTTTATATGTTAGTGTACTTCATTAATCCTTCATTTGCTGTATAGGTAACTTAGACATGTTGAATTTTCATTTTCTGCTTGCCTTCCAATTATATAGAAAGTTTTGAAAGGTTTTCTGAGGCTTTCCATGTATTTCTGAAAAAACTGTGTGGGTCTAAAAAATTATTTTTTTGTTGTTTTTGTTTAAGAATGCTTTACATAATCTGGAGACTTAAGTACTTAACATTTTTATCCTAGCTTAGATCTTCATAATTATACATAATCTGGAGACTTAAGTACTTAACATTTTTATC